AGCTGAATGCCTCCTGGAGAAAAGTGTTGTGGTCAGACAAAAAGACAAAAATTAACCAATTTGGCTGCAAAAGACAAGAATTATGTTTGGAGGAGTCATGGTGAAGCTTTCAAAACCTAAGAATAGTTTCAGCTCTCTGTTATGATGGAGGTGACATCATGCTGTAGTATTGATGATTTGCAATGATTAGATGGAACAATAGAAAAACACAATCTCCAAAATATTTAACCTCAAATAAACAGCTGAAATTAAAACACAATTAGATGTTTCAACAGGAAAATAGCTATGTTTACATGGACATAATTAATTGGAATAAACAGTCAATCAAAATAAAAATGTGCCACGTACTGCTTTGAATGAATTTGTAAACCAATCGAGAGGTGYATTATGTTGTTTGATACTGAACTGTGTGCATGTAAACACATWTTCTGATCATGTYATTCTGGTTGTGGAAAACTGACCTGACTGCACATGTGCACATTATGTGACATAATCCACTAGCTTCAGGTCTTTTGTGAAGGGAACACTATAGCTGCCGCAGCACAGAACTTTCAAAGATGTCTTTTTCCTCCCGCTCTCTTACCCRGTAAAGAAGGAAGACAAACAGCACATRTTGCTTTGCCTGTAGCTCAATCAGGGACTGCAGTACTGTCTCCAGTGTTATTATAACCAACCTGGTGCAGGTCCATTCTGAGCGCCCAGAAGACAGAATGGTTTTTAGGTTCATCACTAAAGTCAAACTTRGTATTCTGTGTGTATTTAGGTAAAATTCAGTACTTCTAGCCTGGTACATGTGAACACACGTCATTATCGGATTAATGTTGTGCTCATATAAACGATACATTCAGATGATTTTTTGACTGATATTATAAAATTTTATTTGTACTTTTGAATACTTGAGTACTTTTAAATGCATGTACTTTTGAATACTTAAGTATTTTCAAAAGTAAGTACTTCAGTACTTTAACTTGAGTAGATTTTTGACAGAGTAACTTTTACTTGTAGTTGAGTAGATTTTACCCTGACTATCAATAGTTTTACTCAAGTACTAGAGTTGAGTACTTTGTCCACCACTGAATGCTTCTCACTCGGTACCACAACCTGTCTGATCTCAAGCATTACCGTTCATTACCATCAGCAATTATTAATTTCTTTAAAAATAACAAAATCTATGTACAATAAAAATACAAATCACAAATAAAATGAAAGGCAGAAGAAAGAAGAAAAACTTATAGTATCTGCGCCATTTTCTTCTCAAAATTTTTTTAACAACAATAATCTACAAACAAAAACTAAACAAAAACAACCTCAAATCCTTGTTGAATAACATTTATTATGAATACACATTATATTGTTTCCTATTTCTTTAACAACGTGACTTTTATAATTCTCTTAAACATAAATATTGATCTGGCATATTTGAATCACTCTCCAAACTGTTCCATAGTCTTATTTCTTGTGTTGAAATACACCACTCCCTAAAACTAGTTCTAAATCCAGGTTTCACAAACATCTCTACCCCTTTGAGATTATAACAACTTTCTCTCTTAACAAAGTTCAATTGGATGATTAAAGGCAATATACATTTATGAGCCTTATACTTAACCTGTAAAATATTATAACTAACCAACTCATAGAACTTCAATAATTTCAACTGATAAAATAACATATTTGATGGGTGACTGTAGTGTTTTCTAGCAATGATTCTTACAGCTATTTATGTAAAACAAAAATAGGGTTTATAATTGTTTTGCATGCTTTCCCCCAGATTTCAACACAATAAATCAAGTGTGGAACAACCGTTACATTATGCAACAGAGCTCTAACATTAAATAACTCTCTTACATTATACAGTATTCTGATAGATTTATCAATTTTTGTTCTTAGATAATTTATGTGAGGTCTCCAGCTTTTCATCAATGATGTCACCCAGAAACTTCACATCACTGATTCTACAGATCTCAACACCATCAACTCTAAATGGAACATCAATAATTCCCTTTCTATTACTGAATATCATATAGTTAGTTTTTTATCTAAATTTAATGATATTTTATTAAGTTTAAACCAATTTTGTATTTTCACAAATTCTGCTTGCATCTTTTTCAACATCCATTCTATGTCTTTACCTGAACAAAGAAATGTAGTGTCATCTGCAAATAAAATACATTTAAACAACCCTGRCACMTTAACCAAATCATTCACATAYAAAATAAATAACTTTGGTCCAAGTACAGAACCCTGAGGAACTCCACACGTAGAGTTCRGATCTTACTTCATTTATCTGTACAGATTATTTAATTTGAATACATTTCAACCTGATCAAAGAATTTTGTGCACATAAACATAGCTAATAGTCCMAAACATGCTGGCTTATGATGGGATAAAGTAGAATAAAATTAAAATTGTATTTAACTAAGCTATAAGTAGACCATGAGATGCATTTGAGAGGGGGTCTCCAGAAGTTATTGCGGTGATTCTCACTTTACTTGCATGAGTTGCAAAGACAGTTCTGTCCCTTGGGTTTTGGACATGTTCAAAAATATTTGTGCAACATACAGGATATGGGTCTCAAAGTAGAGCCATTGCACAATCAGCACAAATCCATCTAAATTGTGTTGTAGATTGTCTCTAACGTGTTCCAAAAGTGCCTGTGCTGTATTTTGACACCTACAAAAAATAAATAATTATTCTCTGACAGAAAACAACCAAGGCCAGGTCTATAAAACAGGCTGATTTTAAATAAAATAAGTTTTAAAACTTCTTTAAACATAGCTATTTTCATTTCACAAGTGTATACCACTAGATTGCATAGGTGGCTACAAAGTGACCTGAGCAAAAAATAAAGCTGCATGAGCAAGAATGCAGTTTTGCAAGCCAGGCAAAAGAAAATAAGCAGTGGTTTTCAAACATTGGCCATTCAAAATGCTGCAACACAGCTCACTAGTATGTAGGTTGGTGGCAAACCCATCAGGATTCAGTGAAACTGCAAGGGGAAATTTGCATGTTTTCTCACAATTTTTAGTCACCAACTAATAAGCAACAGTCTTGTCCCAATGAGAACGGAATGGCCTTCCCAAAATCCTAATCATGACCCCACTGTGAATTTGTGGACTCTGCTTAAAAGTCRGATTTGTGCCAGGAAACCTAACTCTACCAATTCTGCCAAAAACAGGATCGCATATCCTGCTAGATTTATGTGAGAAGCTTGTTGATGGATATAAAAAGCCAATGGCTAAGGGCCATCTAGCTAAGATGCATGTATTTCTTTGAACCTGTGTCATTTTCTTACTGTGTAAAGTTCATAATAAATTGAAACATATGCYGTTATGTTGTATAATCATTATTTTTCTGAAAAAAACATCTATCTCGAATAAATTATTATTAGTATGATTATTATGAGTTAAGA